ATGGTCCAAAGAAAGATGGCAAGAAGGTTGTGTGTGTTTTGATGCTTAATGAAATGTGAATTCACAAACATGTAAAATGGAAGGCCATAAAGTTTGTGTCTAAGTAAACATTTGTACTAAGATTGATGATGACTCGATGCACATGTGAAGCTTCAAACTGTATAAGCCATTGGGTTTTATGTAACTTAATGTTTAAATCATGTCATATCTTTATCAAAATATTTTAGTTGAGTGTTGTTTGAATGTTACTAATATCTAATGCACTCTACTGAAGCATTAAAGATTCAGTGATGAAACCTTTAAAGTAACTGTGCTGTACATTTGTTATATATTTCTTATATTCCTTTAAGAAAATTTTGAGCTTTTTTACCTATTACAGTACAGAATGGAGATTTATCATATGCATTATTGCTGCTTTTTTAAAGAAATTTTTTTCACTTTTTAAAGCTTTTCTACAAATTTTTTGCTTCCCATTTCTTATCACGACATTGATGATATAGAGGTAATATAATCCAATAACTTTCTAAATTCTAAGAAGCTTTTAAGCTTGTCGCATAAAAGTACACCATAGGTATGTAATTCATTTGGTTTTATTGCCTTGCTATGACATATCTACTTGCACTTCATCATTCTTGTATGAACAGAACACCAGATGTGGATACTCAGAGAATAAAATGCACTACCAACTGCTTATGAAATTTATTATTCAGGTGAAAACTGTGTTAATCATTCAAATTATAGTGCACTTTTATTGCAAATATAGGAAAAACAAAACAAAGTGAAAAAGAACGGTAGAAGTATTAAAACTACCAAATGAATTATAAACACCATTGGAAGCATAAGTGTTTGGATAATTATTTGCATTTTGCCCAATTCATATATCAATACAACAAAATCAGAATGTGCTACAACTTTACAAGTATTTGATGCACTTGCACTTCAGAACATAACAAAAAGTTTACTTAAAGTAATTTCTACACAATATTATTTGTTTTCATTCACCAAACCTATGCAGACTTGAGTATTTTTTAAAAAATATCATATCAAACTCAATTACAGAAAATCCATAAATATCCATAGATTTAATATGTACTTTTTTAAAGAAACAAGTAAAAATCCTACAACTGTGGCGAAAAAAGCCATTGCCCATTGCACGAGAAGATGCAAAATAGCAATGATAACAAACAAGCTGACTTCTCTCTCGTGAACCGTGGAGATGAACTATGATATACTCTTTTGTATAGACTAAAGAGTTTAATCGATCAAACAAGTTTGACGCTGGTAAGAAAACGACGCACATCTTTCGTCGATAGTTATAAATGCATCCTCGTAGGAGCAGATAACTGACAACCACAGTTGACTCGCTGCTATGAAATTAAGGTTCTTATCTTGATTTTCATCAAAAAATTGCTTGCCGAACCCCAAATACACACATACATTTTCCTCACTCTTTCCTCCGGAGGGAGTGGGAAATTGTGAAATTTTCGGAAAAGCGGTCAATTTCGGTAAATCTCAGCGGCAAAGGACGAAATCCCCCATTTTTTTGGCGTCATCAGATATCTAAGGCCGCTCTTGAGATAGCCGCTCTAGTTGTTATAGAACTCAATGCTTCGATATCAATCGTCCTCATTGATAGTGACACTGCGCATGCTCGTCGTTACGTTTTACTCCGTTACGCTACGATACGGTCGAAGTGGAGATTGGCCTTTAAATCGCTGATTTTCGAACTAAAAAGTACTGAAATGAGCTACCTTACATTGCTTTTTAACTTATATTACACAAATAAACTCATATTTGAAAAAATGATGAAAATATGCTAATGTATATGTTACTGAATCAGTCATATTTTTATATGACATGGAACATTCCATAGAACCTGCTAATTCTATAGAAGATGGAAAGGAAATGTGGCATAGCAGGAACAATGCTATAAAATATTTACGTAAAAAAAACTTAGAATATTATATAGGATTCTTAAGGCCATCACAACATAATCAACAAAAAGAAACAAGTCTTTATGATCATTAAAAAAATGAAAGATATAATAAGCATACAAACAATAAATATAGTTTCTAAGAATATGGCTTCATTCACAGGTCTTTTTCAATGACTGATAGCTGTTATATCACCTTGTTGGGGGTCCACTACCTAATGTGTTGCATGACATTCTCAATTGTCTGCTACAATATGAATGTGTTATCAAAGAAATGCTAAAACATTACATCAAAGCAGATCATTATATAACAAGAACTAAATGGTTGCATATCCTGATATGATTTAAGCTATTTTGATAAGCCATCATTTATAAGAGAGCAGCAATTTTTTTCAAATGATAAAAGTTTAAAACAGCATGTTCAGTAATTAACAGACGAACATAAAAGGCTGACAGATAGTGTAAAGTGAAATGTGCTCTACCAAAGAAACTTGACTTCTTACATCCTCACTAAACAGTCGAGTAATATACCATAGATTCACATTTTTGCAGATGTACAAATATGGTGCTAGACAAGTCCAGGGGCCGCGGAAGTATTTCAAAAGTGTGGGGCACTGACCGAAAAGGGCATGTGAGTTTGCAGCTTACTTTTTTAGTATATTACAGATATGCATTGTTTCATGAATCATGATTAAGTTTCAAAGTCTGCAAAATATTGGTACACATTCTTAGAATGCTATGGGTATTCTCCACTGCTCGGCGTGCGTGCTAACAAATAGAACTAAGATGACTACTAAAGCCCGGTTTCCATATGATCGTTCCTGTCGTAAGGATCGTCTTTGTCGCTTGCAATTTGTAGAAGCGACAGAGACGATCATATGGAAACGCTCGACTCAAACGACATAAGTGATCCTTACGTTAGAAACGATCCTTGCGTATCGATCGCTTGAGATAGACTAGAGTTCTATCCTTGCGACAGAAACGACCGGAAACACCTTTTACGCGCTTGCATTTTTTTAATGGAAACCGGTGCAAAACGATCGTTACGCCATAAGCGACTTGATATATCCCATGATACAACCGTAATTCCACGTACTTCTTGAACAAGAGTATGAAAAATTCCAAGACGTTCTCTTCTTTGAAACATGGGACGAACCCAAAAACGATTTTTTTTTTGCTTTCACTCTCGCCTTCTTCTCAGCACACGCAAAAGAAAATAACACACTACAAGTTTTCCTCTTCGATTGACTGTTGCCATTTTGAATACATCATACAGCAAGTGTTTGGTGACTAGTTCAAATTAGATACGATGCATATGATTAATGGAACCAGTTCATCGCAATAATCGCTTCTGTCGTTTGATCACCGCAGGGGACTATTTCAACAGACAGAAACGACTCTAGCGACAGAAACGATCATATGGAAACCAGGCTTATATGAAGATATGATCTTCGCACTTTGCTGGACAATTTTAGCAATTGTCCCATGAACCTGAAAAATTCAGGTGACTCAACGGGATTTGAGCCCATGATCTCTGCGTGTGCCGGCGAAGTGCTCTGACCAACTGAGCTATGAAGTCACACAGTGGTGAGCAGGTAAATTTTGTTGGGCTCATGTTTTCTCGTGAAAAGAATGCCATACGAAAGAATTTTTTTAAGCAATGCGGTGTTTGAAATTAAATGAAGATATGATCTTCGCACTTTGCTGGACAATTTAAGCCATTGTCTCATGAACCTGAAAAATTCAGGTGACTCATGGGTTCGAATCCCGTTGAGTTTAATTTCAAACACCGCATTGCATAAAAACATTCTTTCTTAAGATGACTACATTAACAATTTTGTTAAGTAATGCGACCTCATTAAAATTTCCCAAAAAATCTAACATTACGCTCGTTTTTGAGAACAAAGTCCTTAGCTATTAAACGTAAGTCCAGTTCGTCAGTTCTGGCATTGCATAACAATACATGCATAACAATAAGATTATTGTAGCGTGCTGCCGTCATTGTGTTCCTGAGATGTGTCTTGACAAGCCGCTGGCATGAAAAAGATCGTTCTCCAGAGGCTGCGCTCATTAGATTAAGAAGGTAAATCTGCAAAAGTCGGACAACATTAGACATTGCCATGACAATCTGCGATGAGTTATTTTCTTCGGTTGAGAATATTGGTGTTATGGTGTCAATTGATGTCACCTTCTGTACTTCTGGAAGTCGCTGCGAGATAATTCCTTCAAGAAACTTTAACTCCGCTGTCACAGTGATATGGGTATCCCCGTGTTTTGGGTATCCCCGTACTTAAATCACTAGTGTTTGGGGCATCCCCCGTGAGGATACCCAAAACACTAAGACCATGGCATATGGCCGAAATAAATTAAGACCGTGTAGCTTGAAACGAAAATTGGTATTTCTAAAAAGGACATGTATGGAAGTAATGACCAGACATTATAAAGGTGAGATGAGCAGCTATTGCTAGCTAAAATATTATGTCTTTATTGGTATTTCATGGCATCTTGTTTGAATTACGTATGAAATGCTTCATATATACCGTTGACATAAAAATTTGTTGTTGTGATTTCCATTTTTTTCATTCTGTATTGCGAAGTACATTGAACGTATACTTTTGAATAGACTTGTAATTTAACAGTTTTAGATTGTCTTGAGTTCATTCAAACATAAAATGATTTATTAAAACTGGTAGTGTCAAAACTGTCAACAAGTACGCACATTTGTAACAATATCTTTCTTGTGACATAATCAGACTTTTTACCCTCGAAGAATACAACATAACAAATGTTAAAACAAATTGCAATATAGTTAAAAGTACTAATAATTCAGAAGAAGAATCGACTTTCATTATCAGTCACATAACACACACTTAACCTGTTTTTACTTCTTTTGACCACAATGTGGATTACATTTCCATTTTATTTCTGCTTTTTTAAAAAATAGTTCTGGGACATCAAGGCAGTGTTTATGAAACCAGCTCTGACAACTGACACATTCAACCATGTCATCTTCCTCCTTGACATATGGAAGGCGACATGTACAGTAAATTGGTATAAGAATCTTGTGTGATGTTTGTTCAGGGCTTGACATTCTTGGTACAGATGGAAACATATGCATTTTGCCTTTAGTAAAACAATTCCACAAGTGACTTCGGATATTCCTCCTTTTGAAAGTTATCTTGCTGGGATCCTGTCCATGACACAATAATGTTCAAAAGCAATGGCAAATATACCACAGTCATATCCATTTGTCTGTTGGGTGACTGGCTCAATTGAGATTTCGATTACATTTTCTGACTGAAGGTATAGCAGACTAGCAATTTGCTTTTTAACTGTGTTACTAATTCCTGAGTACACACTGTCATAGAGTTTAACAGCATTATTTTGGTTATAATGAATGTTACTAATGCATATGCAGTGATTTGCACCAGTGTGAAGAGCTTAAATGAATTTACCTTTAATGAGATCAAACTGTTGCACCATACCTAATGTTGTTGCTTGGAGGCCTTCCATGCTTGGGAATTGTTGCTTCAACAAATTTTGGGCCTTGCCAATGTCAATGTCTGTAAGCAGACCATTTTTGATAATGACGTCTTCATCATTTTCATTAAATTGATAATTTGGTGTCTTCATCTTGCTTAGTAAACTCACATCCGACTTCCTTTCCTTCACAATCTTGCACTCGTCTTCTTCACATGGCTGCTTCCTTGTATGATCATGCTTGAATTTCTTTGATGGTATGCTTGTTTTTGTTGGTTAGCATCTCTTGTTTTATAGCTTTTCCCAGTTTTTTTGAAGTTACTGTACATGATATTGTCCTCCAAATTCTAGGTAGCTTTCAGCTTCACAATAAGTCCATTTTAAAATGGCCTGACTGAGAAGTGTAAGAGCTTCAGGGAAGATGGAAACCTCCAAGAAGTTTACTTACAATAAGGTCAGATTGCTTCTCAGTAAATCCTCCAAAAAAGACATTTACTGATAGGTCTCTTTTTAGGTTTGAGCACTCTTGCTGAAACCTGATTTGAAAACTTCACAACGCCAGCTTTCTTCGCATTCTAATTTGTTTATTAAATCATTCTTAATGCATGAGAGGTGTAATAGATGGCACTTTTTCCATCTTTTATTTTTTCATCAAATCTTTGTTGAGCCTGTTTGCCGACATCGATTCTTGGTTGTTTACGTCTGCCGATTCTTCTACATCTCATTATCGATGATCTCGCCTTTGTCTTCCGATCCTCGCGCAAAAGCTGATGCCGACGACGCGATTTTTGACCTGATGCCGGAGATCCGGAGCCGAAATGCCTGGATCGATCGATGCGCGACGCTGATCCGGATCCATCCGATCCACCGAGCTCGATTAACTGACCGAAAGCTCGATTTTGACGGATGCTGTAATTTTGATGCCGTGCACAAACAGAGTTGCGTTTGTGAGCTTTTATTCTCCTGTTTGTAGAGCTTCAGGTTTTTAATTGATTGCTGTCTTCCTGCTTTGTTTGTCAATGGATTTAACAACGTGCAAACACCCCTATATACATCAGCCTCCATAACTTTATACGGGCCATTCCATTGATCTTCCAGTTTATGCCCTTTCTTTGTTTTCTGTCGCATGTTATGAAGCAAGACAGTATCTCCATCCTTGAATTGGCATACATGTTTACCCCTTTTTTTCTGATACTGTGCTTGTTGTTTTTCCTGGGCTTTTTTGATGTTGGAGTCAACAATGGGGAATATGTTATCCCTCATTTGAGACATTTGCTCGACATGTTTTTCTATGGCTACTTCACTGTTCACATCCTGCAACAGCTCTGCAATGTCATTTTCCACAGTGAGGTCTGTCTCACATTTCTCAGCTTCAAAGGGAAATCTTGGATTTCTTCCAAACATTAAATAGAATGGACTGTATTTAGTGTTAGCAGACTGATTTGTATTAATTGCAAAGATTGCTCCTTCTATATATTCATCCCATATGTCGGTTTACTATCCATAACTTTCTTGAGAGTTCTTAATAGAAAAAATAACAGAGGAAATTGGTTTATAAGAATACAAGTTTGCTTTTGTTTCGCGCAAAATTGCGTTGCTCCCGCTAAGTCAGGGGAAATCCTTTAATCCACTTTGGGGAAACCCCTGAAACAAGCGTAGGAATGGGAACAAGTATAGAGAAACCCATATCACTAGTGATTTGTGAACCCTGAGTGGTCGGATGGGGATACCTAAAATACGGCAGCCATTTTTGCCGGGGATGCCCAAAACACTAGTGATTTAAGTACGTGGATACCCAAAACACGGGGATACCCATATCACTGTGACACCGGGTGGGCGAAAAAATTTTATTTATGAGCCCGCGTCTTTCCGCTGACTTTGACAATTAAAATCCGCAATGTTCTTGACCACGCGGCCGCGTGCTAATAATTTATAGTAATTTTGTCGACGTTTCCTCTCCAGGTCTTATGGAACTCAATGGCCTTAACTCTTTGTATTTTTAATACCGTCATTACCTTCACTGCCTTCACGGAGAACTTTGAGTCACATGACTGCGATTGACTCATTTGATTGGAAAACAGAGCTTCTTGTTGTTATGACAACAAGTTTATATCGGTGTGTGGCGTTTGTCGAGGAGCCGTTGAAACAAACTTGGTGTGGAAGAACGCTGAAGCTTTTTATATGATGACGTTTTTACAAACTTTTCAATATCTCGATAGGAATATGCCTTTTCGATATTGTAAGCGAGATGGCTTGATATGGCAGAGAAAGTCTGTCGATAACTCGTAAAAATCTTGAAGATTTTCTACAACATTAACAACGAAGTGATGGGAATATATTGTTATATGAAAGAATGTTTTATGCAGTGCGGTGTTTGAAATTAAATGAAGATATGATCTTCGCACTTTGCTGGACAATTTAAGTAATTGTCTCATGAACCTGAAAAATTCAGGTGACTCAACGGAATATATTGTTGATAGTAAACGAGATGTCTTGTGAGATTGAAGAAATTCGGTGGATAACTCGTAAAAATCATGAAGATTTCTATAGCAAAAGCTGGTGTATTGACAAGGAAGTAATGGAAATATACTTTGTTGTTATTAGCGGGATGGCTTGTGAGAATAGAGAAATTCAGCGAATGACTAGCGAAAATCAGAGAGATTTCAACAACAAAAGCGAGAGTATTAATTAACACTACCGTGAAATTGGCACGACATTGGCACCACATTCAACACAACAATCATCACAACTGTCATCACCACATTCAACTAAAATTTATCATTCAAAATGATAAATCGAAAAATCGTCTTTAAAACACGTTTTCCATCAAATACAACAGTAAAAAAAAAACAATTCTTAACTGTTTATTACTATTTTACAGTCCTTAACCATCACAAAAAATGTATAAAAGTCAAGAAATTGAAGAAAATACTAAGATTTATATTGCAGTGTACTTTCCATTTCTCTTAATTAGCCTATAATTTAAAAACTACACGGTAGAATTTTTTTAAACTTGACCAGAATATAGATAATTATATTTTCTAAAATATATCAAAAATCTGGAGGTGGCACAAGAAAATAAGTTGTAGAAAAACATCGAAAAATTCGGATGACACGGATGCGCGTAATATAATCTTATATAATTAGGTTGAAGATTTCAAGTCATTGCTAAACAAAGGCTTGTAAATAAGGAACTAAACTGTAGAATTTTTTTAAACTTGGCTATATTGTAGATATTCTTATTGTCTATAACATACCCAAAATCTGGAGGTGGCACAAAAAAAGGAAAAGGAATAATATTCCTTGAGAATGTACTCTGGTATTAAACGTGAAGTTGGCACCACATTCGACAAACAGCTCTATAGCTAAAAAACTACACTGTAGAATTTTTTTAAACTTTGCCATATTGTAGATATTCTCGTTATCTATACCATATCCAAAATCTGGAGGTGGCACAAAAAAATAAGTTGTAGAAAATCCTCAACAAAGTCGGATGACACGGATGCGCGTAATATAATCTTATATAATTAACTTCCTATATCCATGTAATTTTTCAAACAAAGGCCTATAAATAAAAAACTACACAGTAGAATTTTTTTAAACTTGGCCAGAATATAGATAATTATATTGTCTAAATATATCCAAAATTTGGAGGTGGTACAAAAAAATAAGTTGTAGAAAATCATCGACAAATTCGGATGACACGGATGCGCGTAATATAATCTTATATAATTAGTTTGAGAATTTCAAGTCATTGGTAAACAAAGGCTTGTAAATAAAAAACTACACTGTAGAGTTTTTTTAAACTTGGCCATATTGTAGACATTCTTATTGTCTATAACATCTCCAAAATTTGGAGGTGGCACAAAAAGTAAAAGGAATAATATTCCTTGAGAATGTACTCTGGTATTAACTGTGAAGTTGGCACCACATTCGACAAACATCTCTATAGCTAAAAAACTACACGGTAGAATTTTTTTAAACTTGGCCATATAGTCAGAATGCAAGAGGAACATTTTCAGAAAAATTGAAATCGTTGATCGATATTCTTATCGTGTCAAAAACGTAAAAAAATGCGATAGAAAGAAAAATACTGTGGTAAATAATAGCCGTTTTCTAATTATAAGATAATAAAGTAAAGTAATTATCTAGTAAGTCTGTAAAAATACAATATAAATAATGCACAAGTCTAAATATACCGTGACGTAAAGGTCCTGGATTAAAGTAATATTTGGTCACGACTACTCCAAACACAAGTCATTTACTTCACTAGATTCACTAAATTTGGAAAAAATTAAAGCGATAAGCAACTAGAACAAATTAAAAAAAAAATTAACCAGCACTGTTACGTCACTGCATAATTAATTTGGTACTAACAACCAAACAGAGTTTACTACTTAAAACAATTTAGTAAAAAGTGAATTGTATTAATAATTTTTTGTTCACTCTCTAGATTTTGGAAATATACAAAAAAATTCTTCCGTGTAGTTTTTTATTTACTGGCCTTTGTTTAGCAATGACTTTAAATTCTCAACTTAATTATATATGATCATACTACGCGCATTCGTGTCAACTAAATATGTAGATGATTTTCTATCAATTATTTTCTTGTGCCACTTCCAGATTTTGGATATGTTTTAGACAATAAGAATATCTACAATATGGCCAAGTTTAAAAAAATTCTACCTTGTAGTTTTTTATTTACAAGCCTTTGTTTAGCAATGACTTTAAATTCTCAACCTAATTATATAAGATCATATTACGCGCATTCGTGTCATCGATTTTGTCGATGATTTCCTACAACTTCTTTTGTTGTGCCACCTCCAGATTTTGGATATGTCATAGACAATAATAATATCTACAATATGGCCAAGTTTAAAAAAATTCTACAGTGTAGTTTTTATTTACAAACCTTTGTTTAGCAATGACTTGAAATTCTCAACCTAATTATATAAGATCATATTATGCGCATTCGTGTCATCCGAATTTGTCAATGATTTCATACAACTTATTTTTTTGTGCCACCTCCAGATTTTGGATATGTCATAGACAATAATAATATCTACAATATGGCCAAGTTTAAAAAAATTCTACAGTGTAGTTTTTATTTACAAGCCTTTGTTTAGCAATGACTTGAAATTCTCAACCTAATTATATAAGATCATATTACGCGCATTCGTGTCGTCCGAATTTGTCAACGATTTTCTACAATTTATTTTTTGGTGCAACCTCCAGGTTTTTGATATGTTATAGAAAATAAGAATATATACAATATGGCCAAGTTAAAAAAAATTCTACCGTGTATTTTTTTTATTTATACGCCTTTGTTTGAAAAATTACATGGATATAGGAAGTTAATTATATAAGATTATATTACGCGCATTCGTGTCATCCGACTTTGTCGATAATTTTCTACAACCTATTTTTTTGTGCCACCCCCAGATTTTGGATATATTTTAGGCAATATAATTATATATACTGGTCAAGTTTAAAAAAATTCTACGGTGTAGTTTTTTATTTACAAGCCTTTGTTTGACAATGACTTGAAATTCTCAACCTAAGTATATAAGATTATCTTACGCCCATCCATGTCATCCGAATATGTCGATGATTTTCTACAACTTATTTTTTTGTAAGACCTCTAGATTTTGGACATATTTTAGACAATATAATTATCTATATTCTGGCCAAGTTTAAAAAAATTCTCCCCTGTAGGTTTTTATTTATAGGCCTTTCTTTGAAAAATTACATGGATATAGGAAGTTAATTATATAAGATTATATTACGCGCATTTGTGTCATCCGATTTTGTCGATAATTTTCTACAACCTATTTTTTTGAGCCACCTCCAGATTTTTGATATATTTAGGCAATATATTTATCTATATTCTGGTCAAGTTTAAAAAAATTCTACAGTGTAGTTTTTTATTTACAAGTCTTTGTTTAACAATGACTTGAAATTCTCAACCTAATTATTTAAGATTATATTACGCGCATCCGTGTCATCCGACTTTGTCGATGATTTTCTACAACTTATTTTTTGTGCCACCCCCAGATTTTGGACACACTTTAGACAATATAATTATCTATATTCTGGTCAAGTTTAAAAAAATTCTACAGTGTAGTTTTTAAATTATAGGCTAATTAAGAGAAATGGAAAGTACACTGTAATATAAATCTTAGTATTGTAGCGAGAGACTTGCCGAGCGCAAATCGAATTCGTGTGATAAAAATTAATGCCCAACATAAAGTTCTGATTAGAGCCATAGAAATAGACCAGAAAAATTGTAAAATGAAATTTATTGTGACGTTTCGTCTTTACTCAAGACATCTTCAGAGAAATAATAAATGGGATGTGAAGACAAGATATTATATTTACAAAAAGATGTTAAATTACTACTAAAG